CCTGATTTAAGCAGTCGGTCCAGGCGATCTGGCTTGGGGAGCGTTCTGCGGGAAAGGCGGGGGCTGCGGGTGGAAGGGGTGGAGGCAGGAGAGGTGGGCTCTGAGCTGGGGTCCCCACCATGGCCTATGTAGCCCTGCTGGCCTAGCACCTCCCGGGCACAGGCCTGGCACACATTGTGTGTACAGGGCAGCACCAGTGGCTGCTTGTACATCTCTTGACACACTGGGCACAGCAGTTCCTTCTCCATGTTCTTCATGCTCGTCTGTGGAGGAAGTAGGAGGCTGGGTCAGAGCTTGGACACTTGGGGCAATCTCAGTAGGCTCCTCAGCTGCCTTTAAAGATCCCATGGGTCTCAGGAAGGGGCAAGCTAAGAGACCTATGCCTTTGGCCAGGTACCTTCCTGGGCCTGCTTCGTACACCCTCCTAGCTCTCTGTCCCTTGCTTTTGGTTCTGGAGGGCTAAAGGTCCACAAGAAGGCATGACTGGAGCTCCAGCCTAGCTCCTCCCCCACCATTCCAGCTGCAGCCGCGGAGGGCAGCCCCCCTCACCTGTCTCCATCCTCAGTCTCTGGGCCACCGGCCTCTGGTTTTGATTTCAAGGACACCGTCCATTCTGGGCTCCGCGCGGGACCCCAGGCCCTTCCCTAGTAAACCCTACAAACGCGCCTCTCTGCAAAACCCAGCACCGCTTGCTCTTTAGCCTCCTGCCGCGGCTGAGGCCTGCGGCCGCCACAGCCTCCATCCTCCACCCTTCACTTCCCCATCCATCTTCTTTAGTGCCCGGTCCAACCCATTCCCTTTCGCCCCCTACACTCTGGCCTGCCTGTCCCTTCTTCCAGCGCAACCCCTTCCCCAAACTGGGTGGTGGTGGTAGTGGTGGAACAAGAGCCCCGCCTTCTCGCCCCCTCCCCACCGGAAGTAGCCCTCCCCCTTTTGGTGGCCGGGGTCCTCAGGCTACGCCCCACCCCCACACCTCACCTTGGTCCCTCTTTTCGCAGCCATCCCGGTCAGGGGCGCAGCTGACACAAAGGAGGGAGGGACAGGGAGGGAGGGAGAAGGAAGTGGTGGTGGGGAGCAGGGTTGGCACCGCCCATGGGAGAGCCGGGTACGGGTTGCCATGACAACCACAGGCTCGGAAGCAGCCCTGAGTGGGGGTGCAGTGGGGTGGGGTCTTGGGGAGGGGTGCAAATTGGGAATTGGACCCTGGGATGGCTTCTTCATCGCCCCCTACCTGTTCTCGGTATTCCTGGAAAATATCCAAACTCACACATGCCCCCTTCTCCTGGCATAGTTCCTTTTCCCGAACCCTAGTCCTGGGGCACTGCAGGCGGCTACCCCAGCCCACTGGCTTGTCCAGGCAGATCCTCGCAGCTCACATCCAGCCAGCGAGCGACAGCGCTCCACGGTACTCACCTCCCCTTGCCTTGGGGCTACTCTCTCATCCCTGCACCCGACCCTCGCAGTCGCTTCTGGCGTCACTAGCCATCGCTAGTTTACATCCCAGCACCTTCCTCATCCCTACCTGTTCAAGATTCCGGCTTGTCCGGGATCCCTTACACCCCCTCCCTTCCCCTGGACCCCACCTTAACTCACACTGATGCGGACCAGTGCATCCATGATGGAAGTGAAGGTCTGCATATCCTCACCCTCAGCCATGGCCCTACCGTGCCCGCCCGCCCCCGGGTGCCCGATCCTGGCTGCGGCTGCGAACCCCGGGCTCAATGCAGGAGCCGGGTGGGGGTGTGGGGAGGGGTGGGGGTGAGCTCTCACTGCGCATGCTCCAGGGACCAGCCTCAAACAGCGCCCGTCGGGGGTAGGGGGTGGGAAATAGTTCTCCCCACGTGGTTCTCAGGGTTCTAGAAAAGTGATGGGGGGGTTGGGTAACATGGAAAGGTATTGGCGGGGGGAATCGTTCCTTATATTAGAATTCTTCATTGGTCCCAAATCTTAACTGTATGAAGCGAAGGTTAGTTTCAGAGGAAGTTGAGCTTCAGGTGGGGAGCGCTACGTTTTGGGATTTGGCAAGGAGACGTTAAAGCAACGCGTATAGGACGGGGAAGTTTGAGGAACGTGCACTACAGATGGCATAAATGAGTGGATAAAAAGACAGAGGTGGGCTCGAGGAGAGAGGCTATGGGCCCAAGGAGCTGACATAGGGCAGCTATACAGAGAACCAGCCAATACGCCAGGTAGGCGAAGGCTCAGGACCAGGGCGGTGGCCGAGGGATGCTCTTTGACGACTTGCTTCCTCCGTGCCGGGAGAGGGCGCTGCAGCCCGATGCCACCAGGCTGAAGGAGGAAGAGACGGAGTGCAGCTAGTGGCAGCAGGGCTCTCACGCACGCGCACTGGGAAAGCGCCGGGTTCGGCTCCCCATTCTTGGCCAGAGCCGCTGACTGGAGCCACTGGCGGGGCATGATGGGTAACGGGACCCGCAGGACCCCCGGGATGGGCTGGCTGGGGTCGGAGTGGGGGCGGGCCGGTTTTCCCGGCTCTCTCAGTAAAGCTGACGTGTCCTAGGCTTCATTGAGGGAGCGGGCATTTCCACGGAATGGGAAAAATCGGGGCGTCTGGGGCTGGGGATCGCCGGGGTGCCCGCGGGCTGTGGGGAGCTAGGTAGGGTGTGGCTGCGGGCCCCGGAGCTTGGAAGTGGTCGCTCCTGGACCTGCCAAATCGGCCGGAGCCCTAAGAAGCCCGACGCTGACTCCATCCCTTGTCTTAATGCCTGACAGTGGTGGGCACTGGCACCTCGCTGGCGCTGTCCTCCCTTCTGTCCCTGCTGCTCTTCGCCGGGATGCAGATGTACAGCCGCCAGCTGGCCTCCACAGAGTGGCTCACCATCCAGGGCGGCCTGCTGGGCTCTGGCCTCTTCGTCTTCTCTCTCACGGTATCCTCCCTGTGCTGGAAGGGAGGATGGGCCCCGTAGGCTACTGCCCTTCCCCATGCAGCCCTGTGACCCTTGCCCACCCACCTCCTTAACTCCTATACCCAGGCCTTCAATAATCTGGAGAACCTGGTCTTTGGCAAAGGATTCCAAGCAAAGATCTTCCCGGAGAGTAAGTGCAAACATGGTGGTCGACTACTTGAACATTCTCACCTCCCCCAAACATGATGTGGTATTCAGTTTCTGGGTGTTTAGGTGGTAAAAATTGCTAAGGAGAGCCAGATGTGGTGGTACACCCCTGTAAGCTCTGCACACAGGAAAGCTGAAGCAGGAGAATCACTGTGAGTTCAAGCCTGAGCTACATAGTGAGACCCTGTCTCAAAAAAGTAAAAGTTGTTAAGGAGAAGTATGCCTACCAGAACAGTGAAGACAGATGATGCATTGTCTTTTTTTTTTTTTTTTTTTTTTTTGGCAGAACTGGGGATTGAACTCAGACCCTTGCACTTGCCAGGCAAGTGCTTATTCACTGAGCCATCTCCCTGGCCCCCAGATGATGCATTTGGACCCAACATTTTATCTAGCTCCGGACAGTGGAGCTGGAGAGAAATCTTCTGGAGCAGGAAACTTGCCCACTGGCCAGCTGCCAGGGAAGATTTCAGGGGAATGAGCAAGCTTGGGCTGATGCTTGGCACCCACTTTCATTCAGGAGGTGTTCTTCCTGCCTCCCCCCGAACGCAGCAGGACCAAGTTCACGGAAGGGTTGCAGTGAGAAGCCCATCTAGTATTAGTGAATTCTGTTTATCTCAGGAAATGGCGCAGAGCCTCAATATTAGACTTACCGAAGTTTTATGGCAGCAGGAATCCTGACCAAATTGTGATATCTGCTAGATTATTTTCTGTTTGGAATAATCCATGTTTAATTACTTATGTGATTGAGAATGGATGCTTTAATTACTTATGGAGAATTAAGTTTATAAGGTAAATTAGGCATCAAGGCCAGATCACCTAAGGAATGCCACATGCTCAAACCTTGGCAGCAGAAACCCTCTCCTGTGAAACTTTCACGTGGTAGAGCAAAGATCCATCATTTTTACCCTTATTTCCCTGCCTGCTTCTAGGTCTTGCTTTCTCCACCTAGTCCAATCACAAGCTTCCAGAGCTCCTTCCATCCAGTGGTCCCCAGACCTCTGTCAATGTCATTTCTACATGTATCATTGTCATTTATTTATTTTTTTTGTGGAACCGGGGATTGAACTCAGGCCCTTGGGCTTGCCGTGCAAGTGCTTACTCTACTGAGCCATCTCCCCGGCCCTGTTTTGGTTTTCTGAAACAGAGTCTCTCTACATAGTTTAGGCTGGCCCCAAACTCATGGTGATTCTCCTACTCAGCCTCCCAAGTGCTGGGATTATAGGTGGGTGCCACTGTGCCTGACATCATTTATTTCTGAAAGCAACTTGTTCAGAGGCAAAGCTCATGTCTCTCTTTGACTTTTCTGCCCTCCCACTTCTCATTACCAGATGATTTTTTTTTTTTTTTTTGACAGTCTTATATAGTTCAGGCTGGCCTCCTGCCTCAGCCTCCTGAATGTTGGGATTACAGATTTGTGCCACCATGTCTGACTCATTATGAGATGATCTGATGTCCTAATATCCTTTTTTACTTCTGTAAGTGGATGTATCCACACACTCTGCCATCTACCCTGTGTCCAGGAAGACCCTCAACTTGTATCACTATCACTGGTCAGTAACGTAATAAGTCAGCTCTCCCTTACTGGCTTCTATTGGAAACTGGTGGTAGCCCTCTTTCCTAAATGGAGACGAGTGTTGCCCTTCAGGGTGTGTATTGCCTTTTTTTTTTTTTTTTTTTCCTTTTTATGGGGGACAAACTAGTGAGATTTGGGGCAGAGCAGGTAAAAAGCACCAGATTTCTCCTAGTCTCTGTGTACTAATGCCTGGTATTTCCATTCAGACCACCACATGACTGTTCTTGTCCACTCTTGCCTCTAGTTCTCCTGTGCCTCCTGTTGGCTCTCTTTGCGTCTGGCCTCATCCACCGAGTCTGTGTAACCACCTGGTATGTGCCTGACAGTTGGGTAAGGGTGCATCCTATTGCATTGTTTTTTTGGCACTGGCTCCTACTACGATGGTGCCAAGCTTCCCCTGCCCTGTACTGCTGCCTCTGTTCTCCCTCCTTTACCCTTCCCCCTTCTGTTTTCCCAGACCATTTTTCCCAGGATCCTTTCGGACATGAAGAATGTCTGTCCTGGCAGTAGCCTAGCAGCACACTTACTGATGCTATGATCTTTCTGTCTTCAACCTGCAGCTTCATCTTCTCCATGGTTGGTCTGTACTACATCAACAAGATCTCCTCTACCCTGTACCAGGCAACGGCTCCAGTCCTCACGCCAGCCAAGGTCACCGGCAAGGGCAAGAAAAGGAACTAACAATGTCCAATAAAGTTTTTGTACTTCTGTGAGTTATGATATATTGTGAATTTCATCTGTGAGTGCCTGCTTGGATATACAAAATGTTTTGTTTGTTTGTTTTTGGTAATAGGAATCCAACTCGGGACCTTGTGCTTGCCAGGCAAGCCTTTGTACCACTGAGCTGTACCCCCAGCCCCTTTGGATATGCAGAATGTTAAAACAAATGGTCACCTACACTTTGCAGATCTTGGGGATGGTGTACTTTCCCTTCCTCTAAGGTTCATTTTATTTATTTATTTATTTATTTATTTATTTATTTATTTATTTATTTTTGTGGAACCAGGGATTGAACTCAGGCCCTTGCGCTTGCCAAGGAAGTGCTTATTCCACTGAGCCATCTCCCTGGCCCCATAAGGTTCATTTTATTGAATGTTTATTGAGTGCTATCTGCCAAGCACTTTGCAAGAGAGGCCCCTCAGCCTTGCACTGTGCCATGGGGTCCACGTGGGCTTTGTTGGGCACCTTGCCCCTTCTGCTTCAAGTCCATAAGATTGCCCCCCGGACCCACCAGCTCTACTCCAGAGTGAAGGTGTCTATGTTTGTAGAGACTTCCCAGGTTAATCATCACCGTCCCAGCCTCTTTGTTCTGGTACTTCATGTCCCCACCCCAATGATGTTTTCTTTTTGCTTGTTTTGCTTTAGTATCAGGGATCAAACTCGACCTTGAGCTTGCCAGGCAGGCATGAGCCTCCTCAGCACTGGGATTACAGGTGTGCGCCTCCATGAGGTCTAAGTGGTGGGCCCAGCAAGCCCAGGGGCCGGGGCCGGTGCAGCACATGGAACCAGTGATTGAACACTGGTCCCTGTGCTTGCCTAGGTCCATTGAGCTATTTCACCAGCCCTTTTTTTTTTTTTTTTTTTTTTTGCGGAACCAGGGATTGAACTCAGATCTTTGCGTTTGCCGGTCAAGTGCTTGTCCTACTAAGCCATCTCCCCCTTGTTTTTTTTAAATATTTATTTATGGGGCCAGGGAGATGGCTCAGTGGAATAAGCACTTTCCTGGCAAGTGCAAGGGCCTGAGTTCAATCCTGGGTTCCGCAAATAAATAAATAAAAATAAATAAATAAATAAATAAGTAAATGAAATAAATATTTATTTATTTTTATTTATTACATTTATTTATTGTGTGTGTGTGTGGCCAGCTCAGCCCACCAGGGGGCGGGTCTGGCTGGCATGTGGTGCTGGAGGATCGAACCGAGGTTCCTGTGCTTTGCCAAGCTTGTTTCAAGTAGGTGCTTTAGACCACTGAGCCATCTCTCCAGCCCGGCCCTTGGTTTTTGAGACAGGATCTTGCTTTGTACTGTAGGCTGGCCTTGAACACACTATGTAGCCCATTGGCCCAGAACTTGCAATGATTCTGCCTCAGCTTCTTCTTCTTTTTTTTTTTTTTTTTGACATCAGTTATTTTATTTTAAAGAAAAAATAAAAACAATGGTACAAAATCTCAAAACAAGATTTTAGGAGAGTAACAATGGTTAGTACATTGTGTATTGTACTGCCAAAGTAGTTTCTCATATTACAAGTCAGCTTCTTGATTGCTGGGATTACAGGCATGCACTAGAATACCTGGCTTCACAGTCAGTACATTAGGAACTTTTTACTCTTTAGCAAAGTGTATAAAATGACAGGAGCAAGGGTACTAACCTCTGAGCCAGTCTTGATGAAGTGAGGTGGGTGGCCACTCAGATCCTGTCCTGAGAAACTCCATCCAGAGTGCCTGTCCTTTAGGGCACCCAGGCATTGCCTCCTCAGTGGGTGGGGTGTGCACCTGTTGTGGTCAGTTTTGCATCCTCCATAGTCCCTGGTAATATGCAATAGACTGTGGGTTGGTTGAAGAAACCTGCCATGCAATCATTCCAGAACAAAATCTGGTACAAGGGAAGGAACTGCTGAGTTAGGGAAGAGGACCCAGTGAAGATAGAGAAGGTAGTCAAAGGAATTCCTGGTCATGGATTAGGGACCAGTGTCTTCCATTTGTGGCCCGAACCTTGCCCCTTCTATTCCTGGCTGAGAGAGCACTCGGCAGTTCACTCAAAATGCCTCCAGAGGGCACAATTTGATAGCAAAACCTTCCCTTGTAAGGAATTCTGTGGATCAGAAGGGTTTCTCCTGGGTCCTGGTGTGGGAACCAACCTTCTTGGAGGAGCTTGGAAAGAGGCCAGGTCTGGAGGATGTAAAGCCCTGCTCTGCTGAGAGTGAAGGCAGAGTATGGTGCAGAGCAGAGGCTCTGGGAGATGTCAGTTGACTCGAGAGGTTGCTGGGAAGTGGGCAATTGTCATGTGTGAGACCCTTTGCAGGAGGGGATGTTCATAATGGGCCTGAGGGCATCGCAGTTCAGGGAAGGGGGCAGAAAAGGGCCACCTTGAGTGCCCTGTATTTTCCACAGTGAGTGCTAGCCTGAGCCAGCCAGGCAGCCACATCAACTTTATGGATCAGAGAGGGTGGGAAGGACCAAGAGAATAGAAACCAAGGCAGTGCCAAGAGGTCTGGGCATCTGGTGCCACCTACTATAGGACCAGGGGCAGCATGAGGCCCAGGACTAATGAGCCGTTCCTCCAGGAAGGGGTACATTTATGAGGAAGGTTGGCGCCGGGTACAGCTCTCCACCCAGCCTATCTCTGTAGTCCCTATTGCAGGCTGCTGCACCTGACCCACCTATTAACTCTAGCCAGGATATCCCAGCCACCTAATCACCATTATTAAGAAAGGGGGTGTGAGGACACTGTGGCTTCCTCCTATGAAGCTGGAGGGTAAAGAAGGGCAGAGGTCTAACCTGTTGGCCCCAGGCCCCCAAGGTTCTGCTTCAGCCCAGGTAAGAGACCTCAAATGATAGAGGGGTGTCTCTGGGTTAGACGACAGAGGGAAGCCAGATGTTTCCTCTGGCTCCCTCACACGTGGCCACAACACCCTCTGGCACCCGCCCACAGTTCCGGAAACAGGAGTAAATAAGGGAAGAGGGGGGGATGTCAGGGAGACCTCTCAGCTCCTAGCCCTGGAGGTGTTCCCTGGGGCAGAAGATGATGCCACTTGTGAAGGTGAGCCCGAGGGCAAGTAGTCTCCCTAACCTGGGTAGGGCCAGACTCCCCAGAACTGGCACAATCAGAAGGGTGCCTGGGTTTAGAACAAACTAAAAGGTCAAGGCGGAACTAGGTGCCCAGGGCAGGCAGCGAAGGGAGTCCGCGCCAGGCCTTGGCTCCAGCCCTTTCCGGCCCTTATTGTCCTTGGTGAGAACAGGACGCAGTCCTTTTCCCACTGGTCAGACCCCCCCCCTCCCAGTTTGGCTCCCCAGGGGCTCAGGAAGGATGTTGGGAAACAAGAGAGAGCCAGAGATCCTGAGAGACAGAGATGCTGAGAGACCTAGAGACAGATACAAAGGGGAAAGGTTCAGTCAAAAGCCTCATTGAAACTCATTGTGCATGGAGCAAGGCCCTCTGCACTGTGGGAACCCCTTGAAAGAATGGGAGGCGGAGGCCCTGCCCTGGGGGACCTCCGGCCTGCCCTGCCACATGCACAGACTCCCTCCACTTGTGCAGAATCCTTGTGCAGGCCCCATTGGGGGTAGTCAATTGCTCCCTTCAGGTACTTTCTTTCCTCTTGGTGAATTGAAAGTTCTGGAGCGAGAGGGACAGAGACTCTGCCATGATCAGGCTCAGGCTCCCAAATCCAGCCCCCCACACCGTAGGGCTGGGAGCCAGCCAGCCAAGCAGAAATAGCACTGTAAATACTATTTCCTGAGTTCTTGCAAAGAGAGAAGCTCCTTTCTTAGGGGCAAGTAAGTGATGGCAAGCACATCCTCACCTGGGGTGAGGCACCAAGAGCAAAGAGCTATAGACCTGGCTACTGCCAGGAGCATGGTATGGAGCTTTCTCTGGGCTCTGAGAGGCAGCCATGTCCATCTTGGCAACAGTAGGCCTGGGCAGGAAACTCCTAGGTGAATGGGTCTCACTGAGTGCTCCCTGAGTGACAGGCCTTCTGCAAACTGGATAGAGGTTTAGGTCGCTATAGTCCATGGAGGTTCTCCATGTACACTCAGCAGCCAAGAAAAACCATTCCAGCCCAAGAGGCTGAGGCAGGAGAGCTGTAAAAACCAACTCCAGTCTGAGCAACTTAATTATCTCAAAAAGGAATGGACAGTGGACTAAGCACCTGCTTAGGCAAGCACAGGGACTGGGTTTCAATCCCCTGCAGCATATGCGCCGGCTCTGCCCCAGGGCATGCTCAGCCGGCCACTGAAGCCAGGCATGGTGGTGCACACCTGTAATCCCAGCACCCGGGAGGCTGAAAACAGGAGGATCACTATGAGTCCAAGCTGCATAGTAAGACCCTGTACCAAATACATTAAAAAAAAAAAAAAAGATGGAGATGAGCCTGCACAGTAGCACACACCTATAATCTGAGTACTCTGGACACCTGAGAGAGAAGAGTTGCAAGTTTGAGCCCAGCTTGTGCAACTTAAGAGACTTAGCGAGACCCTGTTTTAAAAAATGAAAAAGGTTGGGGCTGCAGCTCCGTGCAAAGGCCCTGGCTTCAATCCCCAGTGCTATTAAATGAACAAATAATAATAAAAAGGCTGTAGATAATGCTCAGTGGCAAGCATGAGGCCCTAGATTCGATCTAATACCTTCTTTGCCTCCAAAAGGAGAAAAACAGGTGTGTCCATATTTGACAAATTAACACTTTTTAACACAAAGTTACAATACAGTATAATTACAGTATTCTCAAGCTAGGTGTGGTACATGCCTATAATCCCAGCACTTGGGAGGCTGAGGCAGAAGGATCGGTGTTAAGTTTAAAGCCAGCCTGGGCTACATAATGAGACCCTGTCTCAACAAACCAAAACTAAAAATAATTATGTTATCCACAAAATCATTACAGGATTTATAAAAATTTTTCTACCACAGGCAACTGTACATTCTGTTTTATCACTTAAAAGGGGCTGGGGATTTGGCTCAGCGGTAGAATGTTTGCCTAGCAAGCTTGAAGCCCTGGG